AACATAGGCCTCACTTATGGATTTCCTCGTAGTGGTGATTATTGCTATAATTGCCACGCTTAGTAGATGGGTTACCAACCGCAGTTTTTATGATTATTAAGCTGTGATTAAGAAATATAATAGAAGTTTCCCTATTCATTTGGTTTTCAATAATCATGTAGCTATACTAGCTTTGATGTTAAACAGGCAAAGGCAAAACTCTTCCTTTCCTTTAAAGCAGGGTAAAAAGTATCGTTCTTTGGTCTATAGCTTAGCCAAAGCTTCATATTATTTAATATTTTTTATTGCACACCATACAAAACATACGGAAATTACACAAAATAAGTATGCAATGGGCAATTTTATTGCTGACAGCAATTTTTTCTAGACAACCAACGAATTGACAGGATTGCAGGAAGAATAAAAGAATAAACACACACCACACACACACACACACACACACACACACACACACACACACACACACACACATACACACACACACACACACACACACATATAAATTCATATATATATATATATATATATATATATATATATATATATATATATATATATATATTAGAAACATATATAGATATTAAAAATAAAATACATATATATTGAATTACATAATTATATATTATAATAGGTCCTATCTACTGGGTTCAACAGAGTTTTTAAACCATCGAGGGACCAAAAAAATCAAGGTCAAGCCATTTTCGAGTTTTTGCGAGACTAAGGAACAGCAATTGATTTTTTATAAGAGATTTAATGGCTAGTGTGGAAACGAAGTTAAACGAAACAAAAAGAACAAAGTATTTATTTTTGGCAAGATTTTTTAAATACTATAAGGAAGGGTGCGCGTATCACTTACACTTTATTAAGATAATGAAGGTTTATTTTGTCATAGTTTTCAATACGTTTATGTATAGGGCATTGAAAAGAAAATTCAATTCAGCTGTTAACACTTGTGGGAGTAAGTGGTTCAGAGTACTCTCTATAGCCTCTGATTTAGGTCACCAGTCAATCTATATGCGGTATCAATTATACGTGGAAAGTGGAAAACTGGCGCGACACGGTAAATTCTCAGAGCGATTGCCTTCGTGTGGGTGTTAGGCGACGTTTCTTAATGAACGTATCACGTGTGAATATTTAATTTAATATTGGTAAGCAAGTGTGATAGTTTGTTGCTCAATGAAATTTATAATTGACTTATAAAACTTATTGAATAAAAATTATTAGTATTGACTAAAGTGTTTTTTTTTAAATCCTATTTAAATTATCTTCATCATTAGCGGATTCAAAGTTCACTGTTGGCATTGGGGATTTTACCTTTATAATATTACTTTACAACTGAAGTAGCTTTTTATTAAAGCTTCACAAATAAATTGTTTTATTTTACGTAGGCATAATTTCATATTACGCAAAAAAGACAACATCATCATCATCATTACAGCCCTTCACAAGTCCACTGCTGAACATAGGCCTCCCCCAAGCAATGCCACAAAGCACGGTCCTGAGCCACCTGCATCCATCGACTTCCTGCATGTCTTACCAGGTCGTCACTCCATCTAGTGGGGGTCGCCCTACACTACGCCTACCGGTGCGAGGCTGCCACTCGAGAACCTTTCTTTCCCATCGGTTATCGGTTCTTCGAGTTATATGGCCGGGCCAATGCCACTTCAGCTTACTAATCCCTCGGGCTATGTCGGTAACTCTGGTTTTATTGCGGATATCCTCATTTCTGAGTCTATCACGCAAAGAAAATCCGAGCATAGCCCTCTCCATAGCTCGCTGAGCGACCTTGAACGTCCTCATACGGTCAGCAGTGAAGGACCACGTCTCTGATCCGTAAGTCATCACTGGCAACACGCACTGGTTGTACACTTTAGTTTTCAGAGATTGAGGTATACCTAACGAGAAGATGTGTGGTAATTTCCTGAACGCTGCGCAGTCGAGTTGAATCCGTCAATTGACCTCTCGGTCGAAGTTGGACTTACCTAGTCGGACTATTTGTCCCAGATAAACGTACTCGTCAACAACTTCGAGCATAGTGCTCCCAAAAACTACCGGCATAGGTGTGACATGGACATTAAACATGATCTTTGTTTTGTCCATGTTCATCTTAAGGCCTATCCGTTGGGAGACACCATTGAGGTCATTGAGCATAGTGCTAAGGTCCTCCAGCGATTCTGCCATAAGGACTATATCATCGGCAAATCGAAGGTGAGTGATGTACTCGCCATTGATGTTAATACCGTATCCTTTCCAGTCCAGTACTTGAAATGTCTACCAACGCAGCGGTGAAGAGTTTCGGGGATATAACTTCACCCTGTCTTACACCTTTCTGCAGTTGGATAGGATTCGAACTCTGGTTCTGTACTCGGATAGCCATCGTAGCCCTACTGCACAAACACTTCAGCACTTCGATATACCGACAGTCAACTTGACACCGCTGAAGGGACTGTAGCACCGCCCAAATTTCGAAGGAATCAAAGGCTTTCTCATAGTCCACATACGCCAGGTAAAGTGGCAGATTGTACTCTTCGGTCTTCTGTACAATCTGCCGCAGGGTATGTATGTGGTCTATGATACTGAAGCCTTTTCGGAAACCGGCTTGTTCGGGAGGCTAGAAGTCGTCGAGTCTGCGTTCGAGACGATTCGTAATGACTCTCGAAAACAGCACGTAGACGCGGCTCAGAAGGGAAATCGGTCTGTAGTTCTTCAAGAGAGCGTTGTCGCCTTTGTTAAAGAACAAGACCACCGCACTTCTGCTCCACGCCTCCGGAGTAGTGCCACCATGGAGGACGGAATTGAAGAGCTTCTGAAGGACTTCAAGTACCGGTGTTCTACCCGCTTTCAGAAGCTCCGCTGTAATTCCATCCTCGCCTGGGGCCCTGCCGTTTTTAAGGTGCTGGAGAGCCATTCTAACCTCGCTCAGACTGACGTCCGGGATATCATCGGAATAGTGTCGGGTAAGACTTGCTCTTGGATCGTTACTCACACTTGGGTGTAGCTCCAACGATGATGTGTACAGCTGCCCATAGAACCTCTCAATCTCACTCAAAATCTCAGGTGTCTCGGAAACGATGCTACCACACTCAGTCGTCAGCTTTGACAGTTGACTCTTTCTGGCAGACAGATCTCTAGCAAAGACTTTGGAGCCCTGGTTCCGCTCGATTGCTTCTTTAATACGAGCAGTAATAAAGTTGCGTAAGTCTCGCCGCATGCATTTGGAGATCTGTCTGTTCAGTTGCCTGTATGCTGTAAAATCTGTTGACGATTGCAGCCTCATCTCCCGTCTAACAGCCATGAGATCAAGAGTGTGATCTTAGAGTTTTTGTGTTCTTCTGCGGCGGGTCTTGCAGAACTTAGCTCCAACCGCATGGACAATTTCCACGAGCTTGTCATTCATATCGTCCACTGCATTTCAATCTTCTAGGCACTGAAAGCGGTTACCGTAACTCGAGTTGAAAAGTCTCGGGATTCTGGATCAGAGCACGAGGGGGACGGAGCGTTGACTTCATTAGACGAGACCTCTCCAACTTAACATTAAGGTTCAGTGTGCCTCTAACCATTCGGTGATCGCTGCCGGTTTTCACCCTTGCGATCACTGAGACATCACTGAACAGTTGTCACCGTGTAGTGGCGGTTGAGAATATCCACTACCCCATATCTTCCCGTGGGTTTCGTAAGAGGCGACAGAGGGACACAAAAAGGAGATGGGCAGCAACATCTTCCTAATAACAACAATAACATAATAAAAAACTGCGGTTGCCAAACCGCTCGCCAAGCGTGGCAAATATGGCAAATATCCCCCATGAAAAAGACATGCTGCAGTGAATTATAGACTCAGCACGTGCACGTTCGAGAATAGCAACATAATGCTGCTGTTTGTTTTTCATTAGATTCCGACGTTTTAAGTAAGCTATTCTGACTATTGCTACGAGGACATTCTGATTTGCGTGTGTGTGTGTGTGTGTGTGTGTGTGTGTTTATATGTGTGTATGTAAACCGATTTAAACTAGCTTAGTGGTGTCGAGGGTTCACTGAGATTTTCAATACTGTTTCAACCAATTTGGACTGGTAGATTTTGAGAAATCTCGAAAATAAAATTTTTTAAAATGTGTTTTTTAAATTACTTTTAAACATTTGTAACGATCAATTTCAAAATCTAATCTTAAAAAATAATTCCTAAAAAAGTGTTTTTTCACATAACTTTTGAATTCGCCGAATTAAAAATGAAACAAATTGATAATATTTTATAAGACAGTTATAGTATAGAAACACTTTTTATAGTTAATAAATGTTACTACACTCTATATGAATACTTGAATGACAAAGGTAATAATAATAATGAATAATATATATAACGGCTTAGGGAAGTGACGATCCCATCGCCCGCTGACGTAACGGTTATATGACAAAACCACTACGTCAGCGCAGTTAGTCAGCACCTTGCCAAGAGGTGTTAGTGCTGTGCCTCGGCAAAAATTGAGGGTTCAAAACCCGCTTGTGCACATGGCCCCACCATGAAACGGCGCCGGGTCTGGGCGTCTCCCGTTAAATAACGCCCACCACTATGGATGATGGAATACGGAAGAACGCACAAAGGGCCGCTGCCTGGAGGTCGCCAGAGCGCGTCTGGAGCTGGCGCTGGACGCGACAGCATGCGAACCGCCAGCCGAGCGAGAGGTGCTGCACGACTACCCTCACTCCCACAACGGCACCCGCCGCTGGTGGAGTACGCCGCATGCGATGGACAATCGAAATTAATAATAACGCATTGCGGGCGTATTTTAGGGCGAAAGGGGGAGAAGTTGGAGGTTTGGCGTATCGGGCTAGGATGCATCGCTTTTTTGCAGAGCTGGAGCCATCTCTATCCGTCACTGAGCAAAATCTGGCGGACCGAGTTCGGTACATCCTGCGCTCCAATGCCCTACACCTACTAGAACCCCACCTAGAGAAAAACTATGAAATAAACACTCCCCCCCCACGATTTTCGGGCTCTTAACCCAATGCTGGTGACCTATTTGGAAGCCAGCCGGTACCTTTGCGAGACGGACTCAATTCTTTTTGGCGCCACACTGGCAGTATGCCGTATTATTGGCGCCAAACTTCCCATGGCTGGACGTGCTACTCAACAAAGTAGCGCCATCCCAGCCTGGAGAAAAAGAATCGAGGACCGTATCGCAAAGGCAAGGGCCCTTATCTGCAGACTGACAAGCTTCAGGTCGGGAAATAATAGACCGAGAGTTGTGCGCACCGTTAGAAAGGCGTTTGCTGGGACAAATATTAGTTTGTCCCAGCCGGATATCAGGCAGAAACTAACGGAGCGCATAGATGACCTGAAGCAAAAAATCGCTGCTTGGGGGAAGCGGATTCGACGATTTAGCGAGAGGTCAAGGCGGTTCAATGAGAATTGTCTCTTCCAGAGTGATCAGAAGAGGCTCTATAAATCATTGGTGCGACCAGAGGTATGTGGAGCGGGCCCATGATCGGATCAGGCTGACACTGTCGCATTTTGGCGTGGCCTGTGGTCAGAGCCCGTAAACCACAGCGAGGGCCCTTGGATGGAAGTTATGGCGAGCCAGAGTGCAAGTGTTACGCCTATGAACCCCGTCACCATAACGCCTGAAGACGTGGCAGAGGCGGTCCGTAGGGCCCCGAACTGGAAAAGTTCGGGGCTCGACGGGCTGCATCATTATTGGGGTTCGTAGTGTGTCACGCTGTACTCGCCCGACAGTTTCAAGAGGCTCTCGGTCAGAAGTCGCTTCCGAGCCTCTTCACTACTGGGATCACTCACTTGGTTCCTAAAGATCAGAATACCACCGACCCGAGCAAATACCGCCCCATCACGTATCTACCCACCATATATACGACATCCACTGACGTCCATTTTGCGCGCGAGAATCACTCGTCACCTGGAGCTAAATCAGGTGATGGCACGCGCTCAAAATGGATGTCGGGGCGGTGGTCGTGGAACCAAGGAACCACTCCTCATTGACGCGGTCATTGGCAAAGTGGTGAAACGCAATCGTCGGAACTTCTCCGCCGCCTGGATAGACTACAGAAAGGCATTCGACTCGGTGCCCCATACATGGCTAAAGAGAGTCCTCCAGCTGTACAAGATTGACTGTACAGTTAGAGACTTCCTCGAGCAGTGTATGGGGCAGTGGAGTACGATCCTTTGCTATCTGGGCGAGCGGATGATGGCTGCGGAGAACCACATAAGGATAAGAAGGGGTATCTTCCAGGGCATGTCTGAGTCCAATCTGGTTTTGCCTCTCTTTGAACCCTCTCAGTACTTTACTAGAGGGCTCCGGGAGGGGATTTCAGCTTCGGAAAGGAGGTACAAAAGTGACCCACCTTTTCCATATGGATGACCTCAAGTTATTCGCCTCCAGTCGCTCCCATCTTATGGAATTGCTAAACATCACTTGTGAATTTAGCAATTCTATTGGAATGGAGCTGGGGACGGATAAGTGTGCGGTCCTCCATGTTGAAAAGGGAAGGGTTGTTAACTCGGAGGGCATAGACTTATCTATGCCCGTCAACTTAAGGACCCTTTCCGAGGCTGAAACATACCGATACCTGGGTATATCACAGAACATCGGTATCGATGAGGCCGGTATGAAACAGTTTGCGATGTGTTTTATGCACGCTTGATCAAAGTGCTTAACAGCCTTTTGTCCGGTGTGAATAAGACACACGCATATAACGGTTGGGTCATGCCTGTTCTCATGTATACCTTTGGCATACTCAGGTGGACTCAGACTGAACTTAACGCCCTGGATAGAAAAGTCCGCACTACAATGACTTCCCGTAGGATGCATCATCCGAGATCGTCCGTAATGAGGCTGTACTTGCCGCGAAAGCATGGTGGGCGTGGCTTCTTGAGTGCGCTCACCATGCATAATCGCGAAGTGTGCAGCCTCCGTGATTACTTTCTGGCGAGATCGGATGATCCATTCTATAAGGACGTCATTTCTTGTGATAAAGGACTTACCCCTCTATCCTTAGCCAACGAGCAATGGCAAGACCCGGCAGTGCAGAGCATTTCCGACCGGGAGACCGTATGGAAGGAGAAAGAGCTCCACGGGAGGTTATGCAAGGCTCTATATGAGCCTTTCGTAGACACAGTAGCCTTCCTCCACTGGCTACGCTTTGGTGATCTCTTCGGGGAAACCGAGGGTTTTGTCTGTGCAATACAGGATCAGGTTATTAAGACCAACAACTATCGGAGATACATCCTAAAGGATGGCACCGTCGACATCTGTCGAGCTTGTCGCCATCCCGGTGAGTCACTTAGGCATGTCATCTCCGGTTGTTCGGCGCTTTCTAACTGTGAGTACTTGCATTCTTCACCAGGAGCTCGCTCTGAAATACGGTCTCGTGGATCGGAAATTGCCGTATTACAAGTACTTGCCGAAAGCCGTGCTCGAAAATGATCGCGCCAGGCTCTATTGGGACCGGGCCATCATCACAGACAGGACTATTCTTGCGAATAAGCCTGATATTGTGCTGATGGACCGGGCACAGTCAAGGATATTTTTGGTCGACATTACCATTCCGTATGACTAGAACCTCGTGAAAGCCGAAACAGATAATCAAACAAAATATCTGAATCTGGCTCACGAGGTGACCGACATGTGGGGTGGTCTGCCGAACGAAATTATTCCTGTAGTCGTCTCTGCAAACGGGCTAATCCCAGTCAGCCTCTCGGGTCATCTGAAGCGGCTAGGACTACGTGGCGGACCGCTCCAGGCTCAAATGCAGAAGGCGGTGCTCCTCGATACCGCCCGCATCGTCCGCCGGTTTCTTTCCCTTTCCCCCTAACCCTCGGCCGTTTGGTCTCCCCTGCCGAGTGCCTCCATCTGGTTGGGCTTTTATTTATATATGTATTTTTATATTTATTTTATGTTATTGATATTTATGTATATTTATCTTTTCATTTTCATTTATAATTAATTATATATTTATAGAAACCAACCAGATGAGAAAACTATATTTATAACCCCCATAATAATATGAATAATATATTGATAATGAATTATATCATAATAGTAATAAATAATAAAACGTTTTTGCGTCCTCCATATTGTGATAATTAAATATTTATTAATATGTACATTATGGAACGTAAACAAATATTGAGTATTGAATTTATTGTCCAATCAGTTTTTTATAAAGAAAATAATATTATTGTATTGTACGTATTTTGTATTGTATAATTACCTTGTCAATTACCACATACAACACAAAAAAACATTAAAATCGGTTGATCCGTTCGAAAGTTTCAAAAATAATGTCTTTTCAAAAATAGTATTTTCGAAATTTCTGCTCGGTTCGTTTGATGAAATGAGTTCGTTAAAAATATTTGTCGAGCGTTTAGAGATCCAACATCGCGGGAAGTTCCAGGGATGGCCTGGGTTAACCGTTTTCCCAATTTTTTTACTTTGAAAGAAGCATTTATGCCTTTTTATTTTTAATATGAGGTGTATATGACCATTCCCTGACTACCAGATGGACTGTGCGCTCGTTTGTCACCCTTACTTCTTTAAAAAAAAACCAGAGCCAAAATTATTATTTGCAGACCGTACAGATGCTTCTATGGCTTCCTTAAATCTGATTACGTTTGCTTGGCTTTTATATCTCTCGAAAAATGTTTTGTAAAAGCCAATTTTTATCTAAATATTTTGTTCCAAAAACTATAATTTAGAATTCAGCATCCCCTTGTGTTTACAGGATAACGATAAGACGTAAATTTCGATTTAGTAACAGTGACTTACTTTATGGACCGTGTGGTATTTAACATAGTGGCAAAAAAATTATTACGGTTCTGGGTTTATTTATCTACAGTCTATATAATATTATGAAAAGTCAAAGCAATAGGGATAAATTTTAGTATGAGGATCACCTTTACTTCAAGAAATCTAATAGTTCACCTGGGCTTCTTTCAACTTATGCTTTTTTTGGTACATTCTACGCAGAATATTCGAAGCAATAAAATATCTAATATATATATATATATATATATATATATATATATATATATATATATATATATAATATTATAACTCTAAAAGATATTAACCAGAAATATTAGTGTTGTTGCATACCATAGTACAATTTCTACCCAACTAAAAGTTTCAATGAACATAAAAATATTGTAAGTTTGAAATACCAGACACTGTAAAAATAACCTTTATATTTATTTTGTAAAAATAATTTTTATAAGATTGGGTGACAAACGAGCACACAGTCCACCTGATGGTAAGTAGTTACTGTGGCCCATAGACATCTGCATCTATCCTCGATTACGAATCAAAATGCAGATGCGTTGTCACCCGTGAGGACTAAGATGGAATGCCTCGTTTCCTGTAAAAAAGGGTCTCCGGTCTCTACACTCACCATACGAAACACAGCAGCGTTAAGCTACTATTTCACGCTGTTATTCTGTGAGAGCGTGGTCCTTCCCCGGTCGAGCCGACCCATTCGTGCTACAACTATACTACTAATATAACTGCAGCATGGCTCTACCACGTATAAAATATAATATAATCATGGACGAAGGCTTTTGTAATATTAGGCTTTTGTAGATTAAACAATTTAAAATAATTTTTATTATTTCTAAAGACACTTACATTAAATGACTTTACTTTATGGAAATATTACATATGTAAATATGAATATTATATATATGGTTTTTTAGCTTCAGTTAGTTTCAGAGAGACACATATGGGATGATATGGGGTGAATTGTTGGTTAGTTGGTTCTCTGACACCACTTTCATACATTTGACCATATTTACACCTCAATGTTTTGAGATTACGCAGATACGAGTATTTGATTTTGCACATTCATAGCCTTTTTAAGTCCCATTCTGGACTTTTCAAGCCCTCTAAGACTAAAAGCACCACATTCGACAGGCGGCTTAGTGAGCGCAGAACCCAGTCGGTGATTTTTGTATATTTAATTCGTATAGCCTTTGGTTGGATTTACTGATCTTGGTTGGTACAGCGTCTTTTATCAATAAATTATAAGAAATAGAAACACCGTTTTACTGGTAAAGAGACATTCCATTCCTTAAGGATCAACGCATCTGCATTTTGATTCCTAATCGAGAATCGATGTAGGTGTCTATTTGCCACACCATCAACTTACTATCAAGTGGACTGTTTGGAAAATTTCATCAACCACTGTTTACTTACATATTACATATTAGAGAAAATTTAAAAAGGAGAGTCTATTATATTCTATTCCTTTTTTCTCTCTACTAATAAAAATCTTTATAAAAGCTATCTTATTAAAATTGCTAACACCTTCTGCTCTAAAGCTCTGTATGACCTTCAACATCGAAACCTGCGGTAAACTGCAGCGTCAACGGTGTACCCTTAAGAGTGCAATGTAGTTAGCTTTCCTATTGCCATTCGATTGTTAATCATAATAATATATACTTATATACATAACAATTAAGGGCACAATCAATAGCGTATCTTGGAAGAGGTCTTATTGAGAAATAAACTTGCTTACTACTAGTTTAATTACGACAATGACGATATGAGTTTTCAATTGCTGACCTATGCACTCTTAAATATATTTGAATAACTAAACTATCATTATATCTATGCATGTTATTTCAAACAGATGTGGTAGTTTAATTGCTAAGAGGTCTCCGTGAAATTAATAATTACAAATTGCAGTGTTTTTAAAAAATAAGAGAGAAAAATATGTACATAGTCCACCTGATGGTAAGTGGGTGCTGTGACCCATAGATATTTACTTCCATACTTGAACAAGAATCAAAATTCAAATACGTTGTCACACTTGAGGACTAAGATGGAATGCCTCGTTTTCACTAAAAAGGGTCTACGGTTCTCTTCACTCCATAAACTGAACACAGCAGCATTAAGCTGCTATTTTACCTGAGAGCGTGGTAATACCTCTTTCAAGCCGATCTATTCGTGTTACAGCTATAATATAGCTGCAGCATGGCTCTAACACACACCTCAACCTGTTTTCGCACCGAAAACTCTTAGAAATAGGAAAACATCAAATCGTGAACCTAACAGTGGATGTAAATAATCTGTCACTTTACTATACTTTTATATTTTTGCAGCCAAAAACGGAAGAATCAGTTAAACGCGGATTGAGCAACAAATGTGTGGCGAGACAAACGTCCTCGTGCCTTGCGATTGAACTAGTAGGATATATGGACAAAATTCTTAAGACAGCTTCTTTTCAACTTACAGATGATATTATGATTGTCGATGAAAGGTAAGTCACGTTTTTAAAGTTAATATGTTTGATACCAATTTCATTTTACAGTTTAAACCTAGAAGTAGGGAACAATAAAAATTATAAAATGTTGTTAATAAGAAGAAAGGTCATTTCTTTGTGAATATCCCATTATTTTTAGTCTATTTCACAAAACTTAGCCAGTGCGCTTTGCCTTCTCCGGCTGTATTATTACTTCCCGAGCAGCACACAAGCGTTATGAACATTAGTATACCAGCCTATAGAATTTAGAGTTCTTTTGAAGCATATAAGAGAGGTTGTACCCCTATTAGAGTGGTTTATAAGTTATTATACAGCTCAAGCAGTATAAAGTCTATATTATGATATCTAAGTAACCTTAGAGTTTTTAATCAGAATATGAAAACTCTAGTATATAACTTTAAGTATTTTTTAACACTTGAATCTGATTTTATCATTAAAACTGTACAAAAACTGTTTTTGAATGCAGTCACTTGCTTATATATGTGGTTTTATAGTATCATTCTAATCTTATTTCTGAACAATGGTGTATGCAAACTGCCTTCTAAAACTTATTTTTATGGCGTAATTGTACAAATTGTACACTCTTATAAATACCGTAGTTTTATTACGTCTGTCTATGATGGTGATGTAAAACTTAAAAAATACATAGCAGCAATAGTAAAATTTAAAGCTGTATAAGTGACAGAATTTCGCCATTCACATGCGTGGCGTGTTTTTTTGCTAGTGAACGAAATTGATTTGTTATCAATATGTTGAAAAAAGAAAAAAGGTTTGAGTGTAAAATCTAAATGAAGGTTATCCAACACTTAACCCAAGGCAAGGTTTTTCATCTTTTATACTTATCGCTTAAGATAATTATATTTTACGTTGAAAAAACAGCTACACAGCGTAAGTAATAAACACATTATATTATACAACTGATTAAAAGCCAATAGCCGTATAATTGAATCCATAACATACATAGTACAGCTACTAAGATTACAAAACTCTCGAAATATCGTTTAAGCTGTTTAGCAAATTGTCGCCACTTTAGGACCCATATAAAAAAAATTAAAATATAATTTTAGTAATATTAGACATTATAACCATTTTTTTCAGTTTGATTTATGATCACTGTGCCCAATGTGTAAATAACCTATATAACAGATATAAAGATAAAGTATTTAGTATTTTGTCCTTATATTTTTTGACTGTTTTGCTCGCATGTCAATGTTTTGAAAACACATACAAGTTGACCGTGAATCTATTTTGCACTTTTGATTCCTCAACTATCACCGTCAAAATTCAACTGCAATTCGAGTATAATATTAATATATTAGATATATTTTATACTCTGACATTAAATGTCACCATCATTCAATATATTATATAAACAAACGCTTATCTTTAACATTTGCTTATAAGACAATATCTTAAGTGTAATAGATTTTTAAATACCAAATAACAGCAATAATACAGCTATTATAGAGGCTCTTTTATGTTTGCACATCTACTGTAATAATAATGTCCTACAGACTGAATTTCGGTCACGGCGGCCTGCCTCAACGAAAACTAGCCATCGGCGCAGGCCAAGATTATTGTACCCAAGTGTATGCGTAAGCACAGGTGCAATCTCTATTCCCTTAATCTCATAATCCGATGGGACGGTAAACCGACACGACCGGAGAGAGGTGTAGATCTGGCGCAGTACCAATGGTTTTACGTGGTATGAGACACCGCCAACTTGCTGACTCCGGGCAGCTGGCCCGACCCGCGATTCTAACACAGGACCTCGTGACCAGCAGTCACACCACTACAATCACTAGACCAACGAGGCAGACAACATCTACTGTACGGTGCTACTAATGCATAAAGCTGTATGATTTGTGCCAATTTTTTATTCATAAGTACTATTTAAGCGCTTATACAGCCGTTATAGAGCCAAAATTCAGCTTCTAGTATAAAAACGAATTTTAATAAAGCTCGTAGCTTGCGTGCTGCTTAGGTTACTATCAGTTAGGTTTGTAGTCATTTATAATAACTCAAAAAAAAACATCTCAAAGTTGAAAATCGAAAAAAAGCATTGCTAAATTGTTTTCAAATATTTCTTATTCTTTAAGGAAAAAGATTTCATATTTTCACATGAATGTGACACATTTATCATCATTATCATCATTACAATTCCTTAAATCCAGGATATACAATTAAGAATTAAAATACAGATGCGTTGTCACACCAGGCGGTCTAAGATGAAATGCTTCGTTATCAGTAAAAAGGGTATCCAGTTATCAACACATATCACACGAAACACATAGCAATAACACATAAATATAGCAAACAAACAGCCTTAATCTGTATTTTGTTAATTTTGTTAGGAAAGGATTTTATACGTGGTAGAGCTATGCTTCAGTTATAATAGTAGTATAGTTAAGACCGAAGAAGGACCACGCTCTCACACAATACCAGCGTAAAATGGTAGATTAATGGTGCGTGTAGGGAACCAGAGACCATTTTTACCGAAAATGAGGCATTTCATCTTAGTCCTCAGGGGTTGCAACGTAGCTGTATTTTGATTCTTAATTGAGCATGAATGTAAGATGTCTGTAGGCCACAGCATCCACTTTGTCATAAATATTCTTTAAAAAAAAAGAATTGTTAACTCTCACGCTGATCTCTACCTTTAATGGCCAACACAAGAATTATAATGCTATTAATTAAAATTATAGCACCATTAATAAAAGTTTATGAAATCTCTTCAGCATTTGCATCAGTCGCTTCTTTAGACATACCTAGTTTTATTTGTAGAATAACAAACATGCACACAGTAAACCTAATGGTATGTGGTTTGTGTTGGCTAAAACAGATGTTGGCAAATTATTCAACTCATTTCCTGTACATATAACGAACGACGAAGCAAACCATTTGGTTCGAATGCGTGGTCGCGTCAACAACAAAAAGTGTAGACTGACTGAACATTTGTTTCTCTGATTAAATGCAGAGGGACGAATAAAGTTAAGCAATTTAATTTTTCAGCAATGGAACCGCTGCCAAAATGCCAGTACCATCTGAATCCCTTGCAAGGGCCGGTACATCACTCGAAGATAAAGCGCAACAAATTATCATGAACAAACTCTGGAATTTCGCTACCACACGATCGCTGAGATACAGACTTCTTAATAACGCAGACGTTGTTATATCTGGAAAGCAAGAAAAAGACGGCAGCTTTGATGTGGGTGAGTGATATAACTGAATATTGAAAATTATTGAAACTCAGCTTTATCCAGATTTAGTTTAGTTTTTTTTTAGTTAGCTTTATCTCATATTCATATTCATATTATTTATTGCATCCATAATATTACAGTTAAGGTGTTGAGAAATTTTAAGTTTTAACTTAAAACTATGAGATCATTATGGGCCCTGCAAGGCACGACAATTAAGAGAGAGGAGGGCCATTTTAATGAAACAATAATGATTAATACACTATATAATATAGCAACTGTAGGTATTCTAGGTAGAAATTTAAAGTTTGTCATTTAGGTTTTCGTTTAGTGTGTAGTAGTGTTTACAAATTAAAAATTTCTTTAGTTTATTTATAAAATTAGTGTGATTTTCTATTTTTTTTATTGAGTTTGGGAGTTTGTTTAAATTTTTGATAGACATGACGAAGGGAACTTTTAAGGGTATTTTTTAATTAATTTGCAGATTTCCAAGATATATATGCACAGTAAGGTGAGTATTTTATGTTTGACGAAGTATGGTTTGCAGCTATCAGTATTATGTATATTAAATATTATTCGTATTAGTTTTTTTTGTAGGGTTAAAAGATCAGAAAAGTCTGTGCTATTTCCCCATATGATAACCCCGTAGCATAGCCACGAGTACGCGTAAGCATAATAGGTACTGTTTTATTTTTCTTATAGGTACGGTTTGTACATCGGTAAATTTTTTCACTTCTCGGAGAGCGTATATAATACTTGCTAATTTCCTTTTGATTTTCATTATGTGGGTTTTCCAGTTAATATTTGTGTCTATTGTTAAGTCAAGTAAGGTGAATTCGTTTACTTCTATTATCTGAAGCTATATTTCAAGAAAATCTATTCAGCTGTTTGAATATCATCAGTTCTTTTTTGTTTTGGGGGTTTTTAAATTAATATATTAGTTGTTGTTAAGAATAAAATTGTTATTTATTTTATGGCTCCTTTTACTGCAAGCTGGTATTCTGTGCGAACGTGACGCTTCCCCAGTCGAATACACCCCTTTGTGTTTTCGAGTTCGGGTAATACACATCATACCCGATGATTATTAAATCTTAAATTGACGAATAAATTTGGGATAAATGAGGGAACAGATATTATATAATATATTATAGTATTTAAGACAGACTGTTTTAACGTTTTAGTGATAAAAGCGATAATAACCGTAGATTTAGGCCATTACGAAAATAACTTGCTGCTATAATGACTTTCAAATTCGACTTTAAAATTATAGTTCGCAACGGGCAGTCTACATTTTGCTATTTAGTGACTATTACCTATTTTTATTAGTTCTTGGGAATAATTAAGTTTAAAAAAATTGTTTTACGTACAACTTAAATCCAGAGATTTCGATATCTTTTTAACTATGACGTGTACTGTTTTTGTTACCATGTTTTATCAACATACTTTCGTGTATTTCTGTTTAGGGCAAATTTAGTAAATGATTTTAAACTAACTTCCCCATGAACTGGACGACTTGAAATTTTGAACATGGCTTAGAATCGGATGAAAATATAAGATTATGAAAAAACAAGTGCAGTGTATTAAGGTGGTAGAGCCATGCTACAGCTATATTGGGTCAGCTCGACTGGGGAACGACCACCCTCTCACGGAATACTGGCGCAAAATAGCAGCTTAAGGGGATAGAGTAAGTCAGCTCAAATTCGAATTTCGTCTTCACTTGCCAGCGCGTCGTATGCTATGTACCGACATGTTTGTAATCACTAATACTATAAGTAGAAAGGTCGTTAGACACTTATTTCATTAGGTTTATCATATTTATGCCTGTTTCTTAACGCCAAGCCAGTCGCTTCTTATTTTTATTACGGTTATTTCCCATTTTAATTTTATGTCGTCCTGTGGCGTAATGTATATTCTGATCGTAAGCGACACAACCTCCCCGTTCAAAGGCCAAAGCGAAGTGACCGTGCGGCAGGAATCAGGCTTCAAGAGGCCGATAGTTTAGGTAATTTCTTTTTTACAGTGAAAATAATAGTATTTAAAAAAAGTAAATAACATAAGCACTGCTTTATAGTTAGTTCAGTTAGTATGCAAAGTTTCATGATCTTATTTAAAGTATTTTATGAATAACAGCGGTTTATTGTTTATTTTGGAGGTAACTTTGGATTTTTTTTCTATCGAGAAAATTTTACGAAATCGTGTTTTCGTCTAACATAATCCTTAACATTAATCCTCAACTTTACCATATATTTATTTCAAAATTAATGCTGCAATATTTTCGGCATAACGAAGGATCTTGCTAAGCCATTTGAGATTATATTTCCTTATTATTAGATTATTTTGTATTTTTATTAAAATGAATACAATTTTCGAAGCCCGCTGACATCCTAAAGATTTGTCATCACCAGTCAGGATATTTTACGTCTGATGTAAACTATACGTTGTACTGCCATTTGTGGGAAGGTTATTATTTTTTCGTGGTATTACTACATTACCCATTGTAATATCTTACTTTCAAGTGACGAAATATGGTGATCCAATACTTCTTATAATAAGAGAGATCCGTGTCTGGCAGTGAACATTTACCAGCTGATTAAGAAGTAGAAGATTAATTGTTTAGATAAACGAGTGAAAATATTTTAGTTTTAGTTTTATATTAAAACTACGGAGTTTAGAATTCAAATACAGTTTAAGTCGTAAATCATTTCTAATTAAACTGCTAGTTAAATAACGTAATCTCATACCAAATACGCCTCTTAAATCAAAAAGCTTGGTGATTTACTACAGACAACCTTGAATTATGAGACTTTATGATTTATGCTCATTCGAAAAATGTTTAACTATAATAAGTGTTAAATTAAAAAACCACCGCGAATATATAATTAATATTTATATTAAATGATTTTCGTTCGTATACAATAGTGGGACGATGGTTTATATGAAGCAAAGAAAGGTAAAGTGAAGTAAAGTGAAGTTACCACCTATATAGGCATTGGTACCTAATTTTTAAGTGGGTTATAGGCCTAAGAAGTATCCACCGCGCTGTCTAAATGTCCGTTTGTAAAGGTCTCGTGTCTTAGAATTTTGCTAGTAGTTTAGGATTAGTGAGATGTCATCGAGTAGCGTGCCGTTAGGGAAAATTAACCGTAGGGCACAAACAATCTCATATAAGCGGTTTCACCACAAGGGGCACCCCGGGGAATTAATTTAGTTAACCGAAAGTAAGCAAACTTAAGTTGTTCGTAAAGATATAAAAAGTTTTATTGTACAATTTGTAACTGACGTAGATCAACTCTCAACTGGACAATATATTCTATCTGATCAGCTCAAGTGGTAATAGGCGGCCCATAGAGCTCGACGAACCGGAAACTTATGAGGGAAAAAGGTTCTTGAGCGACAGTCTCGTAACGGTAAGCGAAATGTAGTTTAGCTGGAGTAACGGCCTGGTTAGACGTGCAGGATGAATGCAGGTGGTTTGGGACTTGGATTTGTGACATGACTTTAGGGAATACTTTTTTATAGCCTTGGGTGGCAAACGAGCACACAGTCCACCTGATGGTAAGTGGTTCCTGTGGCCCATAAACATCCAATTTATCCTCAATTAAGAATCAAAATACAAATGCGTTGTCACCCCTGAGGACTAAGAAGGCCTCGATTCCATTAAAAAGGGTCTCCGGTACTCTACATTCAGCATACGAAACACAATAGCATTGCGCTGCCATTTCACGCTGGTGAGAGCGTTATTTTGCCCCGGTCGAGCCAACGCATTCGATCTACAACTAGAATATAGCTGCAGCGTGGCTCCGTGGTTCAGCAGTTGACTTATGAGGAGTTGTAATAATAATTACAATTATTATAACACAATTGTTATTAGGTTTTCCGTTTATTACATTTTAGGTGTATCAATGAAGGCACCAAAAGCATTTGAAACTGGAAGAGCAAAAAACAAGAATATGGGAACCTTACTCGCTGCTGCTGCTATGAAATTTGGCCTCCTTGGGGCACTGACGTTTAAGGGCCTGTACTTGATTGTCGGGAAGGCACTTTTGATCTCCAAAATAGCTCTACTCTTGGCTACAATCATCGGACTCAAGAAGTTAATCTCTCCACAGGTGACCGACTAGACATTGTTGCATGGATGCAATGTGAACCGTTATTTATTAAAACTGATGAAAAATAAATCGAGCAATGCTTTTTTATTCTGTCAAGAGAATACCTATATGTAATAATTTACATGTCTGTGTAACTACAAATTATACACGGCACGTGAATTTATTACGTAATATTTTATTTTTCATCAGTATCTATCTGCATGTATGGATGCATGTGCATGAATAAATTATTAAAAGGAATGCATGTTTTTCTTGTCTTCTCCTTACTTAGCAAATTCAGCAAATGTGTTTCTGTACTGCAACACAATAGCGTTATTCTTTAAATTCTAAAAGTTTTTTTTTTCAATTAAAAATATGTATGACCTATTATGTTTTTAAAATAATTTTTTTTTAATTTTGTATCGATATTAATTTCAATATGTTAATCAACTAACAGCAAATAATATACATTAATTATATAATTTTAATCCATGAAAGTCTATAATATCACTTTAATTACATACATATTATTTAAAAAATCGCAATAGATATTTAAAGAATGTCTTAATAAATTCATTTACATAACAAAAATAATTTTTAGAATCACAATTTTTATAAATTTTGCATTCTCATCTATTAAAAGTTTTTGAACTAACGACTTCAATTTAGAGTATTTTATAAATAATGAAATATCAATCTGCATGAGTTTTTCTTCGTATTAAATTATCTGTTTTTCTTATTTAACAAACGATAATGTAAATGTTGAAGTCGAGTCTTTGCTGAACAAAGTCTCAGATTGGGGGCGACTAAATCTAGTCCAGTTCAACCAAAATGAACCTGAGTACACAAGTTTGCGCATTTATCGCTAAAGATAACCCCTCAGTCGTGTCACCTCAGTTTCAAGGCCTTGCTGCCTTAGCAAAAATCGGAATCCTAGGCGTCGACATATCAAATAGTGTGTAGTTTCGTGGTCACTTGGAAGGGAATGCCAAATTAGCTTCTAAAAAGTTGGTGTTCTCAGCAGAGCGAGAGAGTATGCAATGCCGTCACATCTCTTGCAACTTTACAAAGCGCAAGTTTGGCCTCAGATGGAATACTGTTCTCACCACTGGGCCGGGGAAATCCAGTGCCAGCTCCTTCCACTTGACCACATCTAGCGCAAAGCGGTTTGAATCGTCGACGACCGATGTCTTTCTGATCGACTCGATTCACGCATTTTTATTGCATCTATCTTGGGGAGTGCTCTGAGCTTATTCGGATAAACTCCAGCCGCCAAATTTCACATCACGTTACGTACATCACGTTAACATTCACGATACGATCCTCATCATCTGGTTGCTCGGCAGTCCACCAATGTGCGTTTCTTGAAGAATTTCTTCCTCGTACGATTCTTCTTTGGACTATTTTACCACCAGCGATTTTTCCGGATCGATACGACTTCCAGACCTTCAATAAAAGAGCTAACTCCTTTCTAAAAACCCGACAACGCACCTACAATTTCCCTGGTGTTGCGGTTGTTCATGGGCACCGGTAATCACTTATCGTCAGGTGAGCTGTTTGCTCGTTTACCCCCTTTTTTACAAAAAAAAAATAAATGTTTTTATACTTTATGATTCGAGTGCTTTGTCTGTTCCGCATCTTTAAATGGTTATTCAAACTTTTTATATTATATTTATACGGTTTACTGAAAACTTTATGGAAATTTATAGAAATTTGTGAATCATAAGGGATTTAACTGCTTATTCCAGACTGGCGTAGCTGTGCCTGGGACTACAATTGAAAACCACTAAATTGGACATTTATAACCCCTTTAACATAAATATTTGGTTATTAAAACGAATTCAATGTGAGAACACTTTCCAGGCTATTAATAAAAAGGAGTAAACATTTGGGTTAATGAGACCTGATTGGAGATTTTGACGAGTGATTAAGATTTTACCTCAACTTCTAACAGATCACGATTGTTAAGTAGACAGTAAATTAATTATGAAAAAAAAAAATGCATCGTTCTAAAAACTTTGTTTTTCAAAAAGAGTTTATTGTCAACTTCAATAGATCATTCGGAAAAATACATTTTAAGATAACTCCAGTAATAATGTACATAACACTTATATATTTATTTATAACTTAGTTTGTAAGCCTTATTAATTTGTACAATATAAGCTATTTCGCATTTAACAAACCGCTAAGCATTAATTTGCAGCATAATTTATAATGTTTATTTTATTGCATTGATTGTACTAACGGTAATTTATTGTGGATTAAACGAATTATTCCCTAAGAAATTGTATTTTATCCCATCCTTAGCCACTACTTCATCATTTGTTTTTCCTATACAAAAAAAAATATGCTAAAGATGTTATAGAGTCTGTAAAGTTCCGCCTGGTTCTAATTAACAAAATAGCATACAATAGCTTACTATTTATATGGAATAATAATAACCTATATAACAGTTTTATGTTTAACTCAATACTTTTTTTAATTTCCTTTTATAAAAAATAATATATTATGTTTGTACTAATTAATACGAATTCTTAAAGAATGGTAAATAAAGATTAGGTGGAGAACTTCTCAAGCATTACTCCACTGATAATTATATATCATTGTTATCTGATTCAAGTAGATTTTAAGTAGTCTGGGAAGGATTATCTTCTCGAATGTATAGTGAATTGTGCTTACCTAGTCAAGATAAGGCATTTTATTCAGATACTTAGTTCAAACGTGAGCCCACCGTTTGTGTACGTAAGAATATCCATTACCTTATACACTCCTGTGAGTGTCATTACTAGCGACAGACACAATTTATTGGTGAGACCTATGTTTAGTAGTGGACTATTAATTATAACCGTAACCGTAACTGTAGGCGTTAAGACGACACATCGAAAATGAACGTTTAAAATGGCTCCGGGATATCGCCGCCGTACTGATCCGAGTGAATACATGTTTCTATCAAAACTTAAAAAACGCCGTCATAAGGTCTAAAATTGGCGCTTAGAAACTGTCAGAATCTTAAATTGTTGATTTAAGTATTCAAAATAATGAGCAAGTAAATTACGAATATTGATGCTATGGATATATTTGAGTGATTCCTAAGCATAGAGATTAAGTAATTTCGTTGTAATTTAAAGTATAGTGATATTTAAAGGTGTTTTCGTAAATAATTACGATCAAGTCAGAATTATACAATCGTGTTTTTGAACACGAAAATTCAAGATAAAGACATGAATTTACCTATACCAAAATTTCAGTTTCGTTAGTGATTTCATAGTCCTATACTATCCGGTGAAAGGAGGTGCATTTTTTCGCGGTGGTCCCTAAAGAAAAACGAGTGGATTTACTGTTATCAGCACTGGAAATAGTCAGATTCGTAATTAATAGATACAAAGCCAATTAAAAATTTGTAATGATAACATAAAACGAGAAGTGCGTACAATACCTCAAATACAACCCAGAACGTAAGAACTTTAGTAACAAGCATAATTCAAACGCGCGGCCCACGGTCTTTCAGTCAAACGCTTATCCACCGCGCTGCCGCACCTTCGACACAACTCTAGGTCTAGGTTTGCCTCCAATTTTAAAATAGCCATTTTATATTCCAAGTGCTGCTTTACATATTGGCTTATAAAACAAATTATAACGAACAATTATAATTTTGACGTGCAGTGGCACCTTATAGCTATCCTCCAATCCGATAACTTATTATTTACATCGTACAAAAAATCACGAAAAGTTATTGGAAGTTTACTTGTATAAAACTTTGCTGCTTTCACCTGATTTACGACCATCAAAGTTATCTTCCTTTAACTTTAAACTCTTGACTTTAATTGATCTTCAAAGTTTATATTATATTATGGGTTACAGTTAAAATTAATTAAAGTATTAACAAGGAGAGTTGAAATGTAAAAATCCATAATGTGAATCTGTATATCTTCATCTATTTCTGTAAGCTATAGTGTAGTGTTCTATCATTCAATTTGACTACGATAGTAATGGTCTAAGATCCCTCTGCAAAATCACTCCGTTCACTACGTAAGAATAAATTAAATACCCACAGAGTGGGCATTCGCTATCCTCATCTAACAAGTGGCGTTGCGCGCTCACTCTCTCTCACTTTATCTCGGATATCTCGCGTTTTTAACAGATAGCACTCCTAATTTGCGGATATTTTGTCACAGGCAGCCATATATCATCATATTAGAAAAAAAATTATCTTTAAATATCCGTGTTCATCATTAACGTATAAATAGATCAAAATATTACCTGTTACACCTGTCTGCGAGGTAGTTACGGCCGAGTTTGCAACGGCACTTATGGATTTTAGAATTCTTTACATGCATTCCTATGATCTGGATGATATTTTATTTAAAAACGAGGTGAACGAAATTTTTTTTCGAATATTAATTAAAATTAGTTTAATTAAAATTATATGCGACCACTTTTGACTGGCTGCGGTGTTATCAGTGTATTCTCCTATTCATAAAATTATAAAAAAATGTTTGCTTGACTCACTACGTACTGAACGTAGTGACTTTGTAGCGGGATCTTAGACTATATGGGAATAGAAGTGCACCTTTTCTTGCGCACATTTGCTTACGCATGCACTCGGGACTAGAATCATGTCCTGAGCAGATGGCTAGTCTCCGCTATAACTGATCGCCGTGACTGAAATTCAGTCTGCAAGATATTATAGTGTAGTGGACTTGAAGTAAACAATTAAATGTGTGAGTAAACTTCTTTATCTTCTTCATGAGCGCGAAAAATACTACTGCCGGGTATGGGAATCTTCAATTTTAGGCAGGATTCACTTTAATCGTCACGCTTAGTACAAGACAAGATGTTTCGTAACGTTGACGATGTTATCGGTCTGGATATTTTACGCCATAATGCTAATCATATTCATCGAAAAGCGTTAGATATTTTTATCATTTCCATAGTCATCGTACACGACACCCTCTACAAAAATTGGGAATAAATATTAAAACATACATTTTAAGACGAAAATTGTGTATAAATTAAAAAACATTTTTTGAACGCATTCTTATTAACAACTTGATTTTCTGCATATTAAAATGAATAATAATTTCGGTTTGATAATAAATAAATTTTGCACGTCTAATTTCCTTTGTTTCAGGGAATCATTTGTGCATATTTTTTGCTTTATAACGCTATTATACAGTTTTTGATAGAATTTACGATAACGCTCTAGTCCATACCACTAACAAGTTTGCTGTATTGTATGCGAAAATGTAGACATTAATATATTTTCATTAAAATTGCTCTCTTTGTTAACAAATTAGAACTAAATCTTAATATATATAAATTACGTGTCACGTTGTTTGTTCACGATGAACTCCTAAACTACTTAACCGATTTTAATCAAATTTGCAAACCGTGTGCAGTTTGGTCCAACTTGAGAGATAGGATATTTTTTTTGCCCATGAGTGACTTACTTTTTTGCGAATTTAAGGATTTTTTAATAGGACAAGAAAAAGGGTCGTCGAAAAGTGCAGAACAACGTCTGCCTGGCAAGCTAGTTAAATATAAATTGGATGAATCATTTGTCATCTACTGCTGTATATCGCAAGAGTAACGATTTGATACAAAGACATACGGTTTTTGATGATAATAATGTTATTAGTCTTTTTGGCTTTTACAGTATCGTTGGACTCAGGAATCGCAGCCTGCAAGGCTGCAAGCTGTAAAAAGGTGTGACGATGTATTATTCACAACGTTACCTACGTAACGATTGTTACCTACGACAGTTTACAGTGCACATAGTTGAGTTATCTAACGGCCTTCTGAAAAGGGGGTGGCGGGCACCAGCTCCGACGGCTAACTCGTATATTACTCTATTTATAACGTAAAAATTGAAACTTTTCTTAGCGGCAAGTTATTTTTTCCTCGTTTTTCCGAAAATTAAGTTTCATCAAATCTTGACGTTTTGAGGTCACAGGAAGCCACCCTGAAAATTTTGTGGTGTGTGTGTGTGCGGTGCGTGCGTGCGTATGTGCGTGTGTGCGTGCGTGCGTGTATGTGTGCGTGCGTGCGTGCGTGCGTGTTTTCGTGCGTGCGTGCGTGCGTGCGTGCGTGCGTGCGTGCGTGCGTGTGTGTGTGTGTGTGTGTGTGTGTGTGTGTGTGTGTGTGTGTGTGTGTGTGCGCGCGCGTGTGTGTGTGTGTGTGTGTGGTTCCAGTTGAGCCTGCAGGCTAAACCAATTTTTTGGATGTTACGTCGATTGAAAGAGGGGCTCCTTTTTAAAGTATATTCATACACTTTGCTCGGGATTCATTTTGTCCCACAAACTATTCGCCTAAACGCTACCTGGCTCTTTTGAGCATCTTTGTGAGGAATTTCTTGTTATAGTATAATGGGTGACAAAAAGTGTCGTATCACCGGTGAAGAGAGCAGTATAGAATACTGTGTCCTTAGGAATGTCACATTTCTAGATTATAAAGAGGAGTGAGGAGAGGACTTAGCCTTGAGAAACTCGAGCCCTAAGGAGACGCTTAAAGGAGCGATTTCCCTCTATCTGATAATGAAAACAGCGGTTGCCAAAAAAGACTGATGATATGAGTGAGCCCATTAGGCACATTTGGTTTACAGCTTGTAAAGTAAACTAGTAATAGTGATAGGCTTGTTGTTGGACGGGTTGTCGGCCTGTTATCGAGTGGGTCTCACAGATCACAGAGTACTGAAACTCGAAATGATTCGTTTTAATGTTAGACTCGATTGACCCAGTTCGGAAAATAAATCAAAACTTGAATGATCAGTTCATTAGAAATGAATGAATGA